AGAGCAATTTAGAACCTTCCAACCCACGTGCCAGTCATTTCCCTGTCACCCTCTTGTACCCACAGGTTGTGTCTTTGCCTTTGTGGCTGCCGAAGTCTCTGAGCCCCGGGACAGGTCGGGAACTGCAAAGACTCTCTTACCTTGGGGCTTTCTTCAGTCTCTCTGTCTTTGCTGAAGATGATGTAAGTGATGAGCGAATGAGACCAAAGCAAAAAGATCTTCTGCTACAGCAAATAAGTTTTGTCTAGTCTGCTGTGGTCTGCCTTAAAAGCCTCTCCCTCCTTTTGCAACCTCTTATGCACCCACTGCAGAGGGCTGTTAAGTCGGCAGGCGTGCAGTACAAGGCCTTTTTTGTACTGGCCCCACACCTCTGGAATATGTTTCTGTTGGGAGTTCACCAAGCCTTATCACTACAAGCATTCAGGAGAGACCTTTAAACGTGTTGGTTCTCACTGGCCATTGCTCCAGTTTGTGTTTTTTGGCTTTATGGCAAGAGTAATAGAGTTGTATCCAACTAAGTCCTACATAGAGTAAACTCATTGAAATTAATAGACCTAGGCTGGTTATGTTCATTCATTTCAGAAGATCTGCACAGAGTAGGACTAGCATTAGATACAAACCATGGTTTTAGTTTACTTAATTCTGGGCTTGTTGGGTGTTAGTCTAATTTTACCGGCTATTAAGTATGCTGTATATCATTAATTAGGGACATGGGTGGTGCTGTGGGTTAAACCACAGAGCCTAGGACTTGCTGATCAGAAGGTCGGCGGTTCAAATCCCCACGATGGGGTGAGCTCCTGTTGTTCAGTCCCAGCTCCTGCCCACCTAGCAGTTTGAAAGCACGTCAAAGTGCAAGTAGATAAATAGGTACCACTCCGGCAGGAAGGTAAACGGCATTTCCGTGCACTGCTCTGGTTTGCCAGAAGCAGCTTAGTCATGCTGGCCACATGACCCGGAAGCTGTACGCCGGCTCCCTCAGCCAATAAAGCAAGATGAGCGCCGCAACCCCAGAGTCGGCCACGACTGGACCTAATGGTCAGGAGTCCCTTTACCTTTATATCATTAATTATTTATTGCATTTCTGTATCATAAGCTGCCTTGAAATTGATTCGGCCCATAAACATGGTCTTTACAAGTACTTTAAATAAAACATATCTTTGTTGTTCATTGATCTTTTTTTTCTTTCTTCCTTGCAGCCTAGAGTGGTTGAAAAATATTTCTCTGGACCTGCCATTACCCTTGAAAACACCAGGGTGGTTAGCCAGTCTTTGCAGCATTACCTGGAATCCGCAAGGGTAGGTGTGCTGAAGAGGAATTGGCTGCTTTTTATCTTGTTTGAGAAAATGTTTTTGCTAAGCCTGTCAGTCAGCATCAACCATACTCAGAGCAGACTCACTGAAATGAATGGACATGACTAACCTAGGTCCTATTCATCTCAGTGAGTCTACCCTTGACATCAAGCAGGTGCCTTTACTGTACTCTTTTTGGTACCTGCTTAAAAGCAAGCCTACTCTGCTACAGTCGTACCTTGGATCACGAACACCTTGCCAGTGTGGTGTAGTGGTTAGGAGCGGTAGTCTCGTAATCTGGGAACCAGGTTCGCGTCTCCGCTCCTCCACATGCAGCTGCTGGGTGACCTTGGGCTAGTCACACTTCTCTGAAGTCTCTCCGCCCCACTCACTTCACAGAGTGTTTGTTGTGGGGGAGGAAAGGAAAGGAGAATGTTAGCCACTTTGAGACTCCTTAAAGGGAGTGAAAGGCGGGATATCAAATCCAAACTCTTCTTCTTCTTCTTGCAAGCATGTGAAATTATCCAAGTCAAGCTTATTTCTTACAAGTATTTCCTCTCCAATAAAGTTTTCTCTTTGTTCAATGTTTTCCATATGCTCTGCATACTTTATGGATATTTGCTGCTACAATTCTCTTTGAGGCTCATCAGGAGATTTTTAGATCATTTGATCTGTGAGGTCATCAAAACATGGGTGACAGTTACTAATACGTCATATCCAGAAGATGCAGTCTCAGCATGTGTGTGTGTGTGTGTGTGTGTGTGTGTGTGTGTGTGTGTGTAATGGATACTTTATGTAGTCCAGATAACCATGAGATCATCTTGGTAAATTGCCTCACCTTTTGTTAAGGTATTCTGCAATCTGGAAGTATTTCTGAGTGACCATCTGGATTCTGGATTCTAAATTGCATTTCTTTTCTGTCTTTGATCAGAAGACTGTCAGCATCTCCCTAATGAAGGCTTTGCCAAACTTATCTGTTCCTTTATGATCTCCTGATAGAATAAGTGTGACATCTTGTCTATCGGCTGCTCCTGTCCCAGTCTACAGCTACTCCTCCTGTTAAAAAGGACTCCTTGATTAATTAGTGGTATTGGCCATAGACAGCATAATGCCTTTGAAGTCTATATTGGCTTCCTTTTTGCCCCCCAGGTAAAATATCGCTATTGATCTATAAAGACCTATCCTCTTGGAGCCCTGCCTGACAGATCTTCTATCCCAGTTGTGTCGCACTGACAGCTGACATTTTTTACTTCCTCAAAGGTTCGGGATCTGGAGGTGCATTTTTCTCAGAGCCTCATTGGTCTGTCAAGAGCTGGAAGAGCTGCCAACTGCAGGAGATTCATCACTTTCTTGTCAGGCTGTGGGGAAAGTAATCAGCTCGTATCTCCAGGCGAGATGGATCTCTTTTGTGTTTGCATGTTGAATTTAATATCTGGTGACTGGGCAGTAGAAAAATGGCAAGTTGGCAAAGTGAGGCAGTTTAGAGCAATTATGGTTTGCCTTCAGAGCAGTTAAAGAGCAATTATGACCTAAAAGACGTCCCTAGCTCAGCTATTGGCGCATAACTCAGTGGGTGGCCTTACACAAGCCACTGTCTCATGCCCTCAGTCCAATCCATAATACATGGATAATCACACTGCCCTAAGGGTTGCTTAGGTAATTTATGGGAAAGAGTTTGAGTACTTAGGGGAAATGCTATAGAAATACTTAACTGATGTACTGAAGAACTCCGTGACTTGAAACAGCTTAAAAATATAAAGTCAAAAGAGTAGCCAAAACAGCAACAGACTGGGCAATATCTGGCCTTGATCTGGCCCATAAACAGGGAGGGCAATGAGAACACACCTGACACCCCCCTGCACCTAATATGCCTACCTCACTTCTTATGTTGCTGGACTTTATGCATATAAAAGTGGGGAGTGCTGATTTTGTAGGGGGTGTGTGGATCTGACAGGTGGATCAAATCTTTATTGCCCACCACCACCACCCCCGCCATGAGCCAAAATTGACATCTGTCCACCTGCCAATCACCTGACCTCACAATGACACCAGGTGACCCGTTTCAGTCTGCATTTTTGCAAGCACCATTGATCAGCTGATCATTGGGGTTTGCAAAGCACTGTGCATAGGGTTAATGGCCCCAGAGGTTCACTGCCACTGAGGTAGATCTGTTGATGTTCGAATGTGGTATGCATGCATTGTGTAGGTTAATTTCCTGACAAAAATCCCATAATCAACAGTTCAGTGCAGTCCAAGCCTAGACATGCCACACATTGGATTTATGTGCCCAGGCCCCACTTTGATGTTACTGCCCTGCATGAGAGTCTGGCACCATAGACGTCTAGGGATGCTGCAGGTGGGATACAAATGGCTGGTGAGCATGGAGGGCCCTCCATGCATATGAGCTAGAGTGAGGAGAAGAAGAATCTGATCTATCCCAATATTGGCTAGCTTTCTCAGAACATCCATCCAAATTCTTAAATCCCTACAATTCCTAGAGACTTACTGGAGTCTTTAGTATCCAAAGAGCATAGGAAGTTGCCTTATACTGAGTCAGACCATTAGGTCCCTCTACCTCAGTAGTGTCTACACTGACTGGCAGCTGCTCTCCAGAATTCCAGACAAGCCCTACCCGGAGATTCTGGAGGCTGAACCTGGAACCACCTGCATGCAAAATAAATGCTTTACCACTGAGCCATGTATGTCCCTTCCCAAGAGTTTGGGAGTGAGGAGGGGAGAGCAGAGAACACAGTACTCTATTAATGTCTGGTGCTAATTAAAATAATTAAAACTTCCCCTCATGCAGCTGGATCTCGCCAATTGCAGAGAAAGGATTATGGGCTAGAAGACATCGACTTTTTCTGATATAGTACAGCTCTTTCCCATGCCATGAAGTCAAGAAATCTACTATAATATCTCCATAGTATGTTCAGTACAGAGATGTAGAGTTTCACCCGTGAAAAATACATCTTGTTGCTTTGGTGTACGTTTGCTGGGGTACATTTTCTCAATGACTCAAGGGATAAAGGGATCGAAAGGACAATTTTCAATATATAACATCTAGTTGATTTTACAGTTTGGTAGGATAGTTCATCCAGGTTGCAAGTTTCTGCAGAACTGGTTAACTATGCTTCTCAAGATGCTTATTCTTGCTTTTTGCAACTTCATGGAAAAGCATGCAGCTTTTCAGCTGAATGAATCTATAATAATGCACTGCCTAAGTCCTGTAAAGGTCATACAAGATCATTCCCATTCCATATAATGTTATGGTCATTTATAAATCTGTCAAGATCCCATCCCCGTTGTGCCCTAGGCATCAAGATGATATCTAAAGGGGAAGATATTTTTCAGAGCAAACACCTGTCAAGAAACACAAAAGTTCCAGAACATATGCATAGACAAGTATAAATTACTAGTTCAGAGGCTTGCCCATGCAACCCTCACTTCCAGTGTACATCAAAAAGTTAAAAGCTCTGCCTTCGCCAGATAAGACTGGAGTTGGTGAATCAGCCCAAGCTGATAAAAAGACATTCCTGGCCCCTGATGATGCCTTCAAGGGAAATGCTGAGTTGAAGAGCATCTCCAAATGACATGTTTGACCCTTGGGACGGGGCATGCAACCCCATTCAGAACCCACATAACTTCCCTCTTGTTTGGATTAGGTTTCAGTTCATTTGTCCTAATCTACCCCAAGACATCTGTTTGGGGTTTCCATCAACTTCTTTGGATAGAAAGGAGAGTTACAGCTGCATGCCATTCACATATATTGATATCTCCAGATGACTTCACCCAGTGGTTCCATGTAGATGTTCAGAAGCAGAGGGGGGAGAGATGGAACCCTGAGGCACCTCTTTGGAACAGACATCCCTCAGCACCACTTTCTGAATGCTACTGTCCATGTGCGACTGGAGGCACTGCAACACAAGTCATATCCCAGAAATACAACTGGAAGGATGCCATGGTTCAGGAGAACCAACAGGGTTGCTTGCAGTTGCCCTGTCTATTCCCCAGTGCAAGTCATCTGCAAAGGTAACCAGAGTGGTTTATTTCCCAGATCCAAGCTGGAAACCATTCAAATGGATCTAAACAAATCAGTGTCCTCCAGGACTTCCTTGTGCATGAATGGTCCACACTCACCTCTGAATATAAGGGGGGGGAGGGGGGTTGGGAGAACCCAAACATTTCACCTCTAGCCAGTTTTTCAAAACAAAAGCACACTAAATAAAGTGTGAGACAAGCAACTGCCAAATGGACGTTGACGTTAATTGCTTTGCATAGTGTGGTAGCAATGGAATTCAAGCTTTTGCCCCCCCCCCCCAAAGTAATAAGCCTAGCAAGGAACTTCAAAGCAGAATAAAATACAGTCTGGAGCACGATAAAAGAACAAGTCCAAAAATGAATATAAAATCATAATCCATATAAAATTCTTTAGGACTTAAAAGAGAGTTGTTGAGCAACAGGTTTGCATAGTTTGAAGGCCTCATAACGAATACATTAGAGCTGCAAAAGCAGAAAAATAGAAACTTTTTAGAAAGTGGTGCTTCCATTTTCCGGTGCATGCTGAATCTATTCCGAGCATTTCAGGGATGTAATAGGAAACAGGGACCAAAAAAAAAAAGACGATCACAGATAACCTCTTCTTCTGTGTATCTCTCTCTTAACATATTTGAATACAAAATTTGATTTCATTTACCTTTCTTCCATACCTATTCTTAGCAGGCTTGATTTGTTCTTCCTAACCAATGTGTTTCCTAGTTATAATGAAAAAAATAACCTGTCAGCGTGGTGTAGTGGTTAAGAGTGGTAGTCTTGTAATCTGGTGAACCGGGTTCGTGTCTCCGCTCCTCCACATGCAGCTGCTGGGTGACCTTGGGCCAGTCACACTTATTTGAAGTCTCTCAGCCCCACTCACCTCACAGAATGTTTGTTGTGGGGGAGGAAGGGAAAGGAGAATGGTAGCCTCTTTGAGACTCCTTAAAGGGAGTGAAAGGCGGGATATCAAATCCAAACTCCTCCTCCTCCTCTTAGCTGGGATCGACAACTCGCAATGCAAAATATTGTTACATGCCACCCCCAATCTCTACCAATTAGTGACAAGATTTCAGAGGGGTTCCAAGCACTTACCCAGGTTTTGTTTCCTCTTGGACCATTAGGCACTGTGGAGACTGTAGTGTCTTTACGAAAAATGGTTTGCAGTGGTACCTCAGGTTAAGTACTTAATTCGTTCCGGAGGTCTGATCTTAACCTGAAACTG